ATCATCACCACCACTGAATTTCCCCCTCCCAAGCCCACCAAGCCGCCAGCCTCATCTTCCTCCTCCCAATTCCCCATGTTCCCTCCACAAATCCACTCCTTGAATACTTTCCAATTGCAATCATTCTTAATTTAGGAAGGTATAAATTCAAAATTCAAAATTGTTTGAATTTGAAATTTTTTCCTAATTTAAGAAATCTATTTTATGAAAGTTCCTAAATTAAATCCTATTTGAATTTCAAATTAATTAGGATTTAATTAAAACTTGCCTAATCTCTAAATCCCCAAAATGGCAACCCAAATAACTCCTCCACAATTCCCTCCTAACCTTGGAAGCCACCGGCCCCCCTATTAACTCCATGGGATTTGTTTCCAAATCAACTAATTCCCCCCTTGGAAACAATTCCTAATTCCCACTTCCCTCTTTGGTCGAATTTCTCCTAACCCCTCTTAATTAATTTCTTTCCAAAGATCCTCCCTCTTCTTTGGAAACAAATTAACTTTCCCATCCCATTGAAACCGTCGGCCCCATCATGGGCTCTCATGGAATTATTTCCATAACCACCCTTCCCCTCTTGGAAATAATTCAAACCTCCTCTCCCTCCTCCTTAGCCGCCCCCACCCTTCCCTAATTAAACTCTAATCCTTTCTCAAAATAAAAAGGATCAATTGGGGAAACAAATACTTATCCCTCCACCTTCTCTTCCAAAATCTGAACCAAATTTCTCATCCGAGCTTTCATCCTTAGCCGGCCACCTCCATCCCTCTTCCTATATTGACTTCTCAAGATAATCTCCTCCCTCTCAAGAGTAGACTTCAAGGGGAGCAAAGAGGATCGTCTTCAACATCTTGTTTACTAATTGTCGAGCTTCAACAAAGTTGAACCTTCAAGGGAGCTACGACAAACTTCTTCAACATCTCACTACTTGCTACTGGGTTTTGATAAGTGTGAACTTCTTCCCCTTTTTATTTACTTCTCTAATCCCCTAATCTTTTAGGTGATGAAGATTCACAAGGAGCCGAGCTTCACCTTTGCCTAAGCTTAGTAAACGTAGGATTTTGTTTCGCCGTTGCCAAAGCTTAGTAAATGTAGGATTGAGTGCATTTCGTTTGCTTCTAATCTTATTGTTAGATTAGGTATTTTTGTTGAAAACTATTTACTTTGCATGTTATTGAATTTCTACTTGTTTTGAATCACCAAGTGTTTGGCATGTGGCTTAGCCTAAGCGTAGGCACCCCTCTTTTATTTTTTATTGTCGTTTTGATTGCTAATTGTGGTAATCTTACGTGCTTAATTCAAGAACTCGTGCAAATTCTTATTTCATTCATTTAAAAGCATTTAGTTCTACATCACTAGAATTGACAAGTGATATTAATATGGAACATTAATGCCCTACGAACAGTAAGCAGTTGATAACTTTTGCATTAATGACACATTTTTATTGACGCATAGGAACATAAAGTTTGATAAATAGTATCATTATTAGAGTATAAAATGCATAATTGAGACAACATAAATTCTAGAGCATTATCTGATATAGAACTAAGTGCGTATGTAATTATACAATGTTGAAATTAAACGCCTTTTTAAAGTAGAGCAACGATAATTAAGTTTACTTCAAGCGATTTAAACAAATCTTGAAAACAAGAGAGAGGTGCTTTAAGCTTAGGCTAAATTACACGATAAGAGTTAGAATCATGAATAATCAGTTCCAATTAGGATTAGCATAGCATAGGGGAGTTCAAAGGAAATTCCTAAATTAACATTTAGATTAGGCACTAATTGGATCCACTCACTCACACTCTTGAGTGAGATTTTCCTCTGAATAAATTGTGCTATTTTCCTTCCGATGTGTCAAATTATTTTTAAATTTGCATATCATTTTGTTGAGGGAAAATATCTTAAAATAAAGAGTGTAGATGGGGGAGAGATGAAATTTTTTAAAGCATATGTAATGAAGAAAGTCCTATATCTTGATAGTCGTTTGAGTGAACTAAACTATGATATTGATACGGGAAAATTACTTTGAATCATTAAGAGTTAGTTGAGAGTTTATAATATTGTGTGAGAGTTATAGAATTCAAAAATTAAATCATTGATAAAAAAGAAAGGTGATGTAGGAGGTGGTTTTGCCCTAATCTAGGGGGTGAGTGACAATAAGTATAATGGAGTGAATGGTTGTTGCAGTAGGAGGTAATGAGAGGATCCAATGATAGCCACAGATGCACAAGAAGTGTGTTGGCACTTGTGCAACTTGCAAGTAGGTAGCATATGGGTTGGAGGTGCTTTGTGTGTGAGTAGGTGTGGAAAAGCATGAGCATGGGTTAATGGAGGCATTTTCAAACGCAGACAGAGCAAACACAAGCCTCGGTTAGTACGTGCAGGGAAGGGATTATGAGCATGGGTAGACATTAAAATGCTAGTGCGGCAAAAATGAGATTGGGGTTTTTGTAGAAAGAATGGGGAGGGGTTTTGGAGGAGGGAGAGAGGAGGGTGGAAGGGATAGGCCTAACCCTGACCTAATATCATGTTGGAGAGGAAGGCTCTTTCTTATATATTATTTATAGGATGATCTTGAATAAGTACAAAAGTACAACCAAGTAAATACACCGTACTGACAAAATATAGAATACTTTTCAAATTTTATATTCTCCTATGCTAACAATGTGAAGGACATCAAAGTTTTGCAAGTTGCATCTGAAAGCTTTTGGAGTTTGTTGTGAGCGACCATTTAAGAAGGCATAGAATGGGAAGGGACATTATATCTTGCTTTGGAAACAGTGAGAAGGAAGAAGACATGTGATTATATTATAACATAATTATAGATATTATATAATATCATTTGTTTTGTTTTCAATTTGTTTCTTCCGTTTTCTTGATGTTAGCCGGAAGGAAAGAGAGGGAAAAGGATAAGAAGAAAGAGAAACTAAGAGAGAAATAGGAGAGTAGAATAATATTTAGAGTTTTTATGGTACTTAACATTTTAACTAGTGCATCAGCATCACTTTGTGCATCTGTAGATGCAGGCATATATTGGCTGAGCTACATAAATCTTGGTATTTTATTGTAATGCTTGATTTTTATATTACTTTGTGGTTATCATATTTTGCTTTCAGAGGAGCTCCTACATAAAATTTAGTTGTTTTGTCTAACAATCAGTATTAGAGCCTAATGATGAGTACCATGGCCATGAAGTTTGAGATAGAGATATTTGATGGATTGAAGAGTTTGAAGAACTTAGATATATGGTGCTTTAATCTATCGATGATTTTGGTAAGCATTTATGGCTGTGCGAAATTGAGAATCTCCTTAGATCATAAGTGAAAAAGGGCAAAGTGTATTTGATTGATGCGGTCTTGATGGAGTACTTAGAGGAGACAATCGGGAAGGGGTTGTGACTTTTACATGACCAAAACCCTCTCTCTAATAGGCTATATCAAAAGCATTGACTATTTGTTTTGCATGTAGGAAGGTATTTGCTTCACATAGAAAGATGTCTATTAAATTTATCTTAATGAATTTAATTTTATTGTCTAGGATTTGAGGAATATTTATGTGATGATTGATGGGGTGTAAATCAAGATTTATAATTATTTTGCTTCTTCCTCCCTCTTATAAGCATTTTTGTGACATCATATTCTATGAGGGACATAATCAGCTTAGTGGATATCAAGAATTTATTTCTTTCTAAAAATATTATTGCTGAGCTTAAGAGTATAGGAGATGAAAAGCTAGCCAAGTTATTTTCTAGTTACAAGAGATTTTTTTAGTAGGGTTCTATCTCTAATCATGACAGAAGTTAAGTCTCGTAGAAAATGTAAATATTACTTGCTTCTACTGCAAAAAAAAAGGCATATTAAGATAGATTTTCATTCTTCGAAGAAGGTGCATCGTGCAAATGACAGCCATAAGGAGTACAAGTTTATTTGGTTCTAATCTAAGTGATTCACTTGTGGTGATGGGTGAAGATAAATGCAAAGATCAATGGATTTTTGGGTTTAACTTTCTTATAGAATAAGAAGTTGTTTTCAAGATAAGAGTTATATTTTGGCGGCACGCTTATAAGCGAAACAATTCAATATGCAAGATGTTTACTTCTGACATGTAATGCTGTGATTAGAAAATTAGGTGCAGTTAGGCTTTTGTGAACTCTATGTGCCATAATCTACGTGAGTTGAAGAAGTAGAAAAGTTTAGCTTATTAATTATTTGTTAGGTTCCAAAATAAAAAATGACAATGACACGTGTTACATTATCTATCTTAATATTAAGCCGCACCATTACAATATTCAGAGTGCTGAGAATCGTTTCTGGAGTACTAAAATTTAGTGACAGGTGTAGTATCCTTATCAATGCATCTATTTTGGTGTATAACATATGTGCTCTTGGGGTCTTTCGTGGGTGTTAAGTTCAAATGTCACTCGGGCTTGTTAAGGTTGTGCGATGCCTAGTCTTTAGGGGTTTTGGGAGCTTTTTTTTTTTTCTTCAAAGGGTGCAACATGAGGACTTCCCAGGAGGTCACCCATCCTAGTATTACTCTCGCCCAAGCACGCTTAACTGTGAAGTTCTGATGGGATCCTGTGCATTGGGGCTGGTATGGTCGCACTCGTAGGGGGTTTTGGGAGCTTAAAATGCTCTTATGGATGCCACATAGCATTGAGCCGCTCTTAACATTACACAAACTTAGAGGCACTTTGTGTTCTATTATATTTTGGGGACAGTTTCACATAAACTTGGTTACTTAACATAAACAACTTATCTTTAACTTTAGATTAAAGCAGGTTCAGATATTACAAGGCAATTATGGATGCATGCGGAAGTCAGACGCATGTTCTTTTAAGAAAAGATCTGCTCTTGTGAAGAGCATACGAGCACTAATGTCCATGTACTTTTTTTTTTGTAACATTTAACTTGAAAATAAGCCATGTAACATATTGGCATTGTGATGTTGAATTTTCAACGCTTCTTAAATGCTGTTTTATTGTCTGGTTTCCACTGCAGCACTATGGTATTATTTCCAAGGAGCTTCAACTTGATGAGACACACCAAGACGTACTACGACTATATCTAGCTATATACAAAAGCTTTGTTGAGGTGACATTCTGAACATTGGAAGGAAATATGTGTTACCAGTGCTAACGAGCAAACCAAAAACATGCTTACATAAATACATGGCATCAGTTTGCTACTGTCTACGGCATTTCTTTAGCACTTGTTTGCAAGAAGTTCATAATTTTAGTTGTTTTTTATTCTACAGGCCATTGATGCTATTGATAATGGAATTAGTCGGTATGACACAGATCAGCCTCCAAGATATTTGAACAACACACATCTGTCTGCACGGATTGGTCGACTAAATTTGGATTGGATGGATCCTGATCAATCTTCTGAGAAGGAAAATACAGCCTTTGAGCAGGCAATGATGCTTGCTGGAAATGAGTTTTTGGAGGTTATGATTGCTTTATTAGTATAATGCTGCCTTTTTTGGTTATGGAACTATGATAATTATTACTTTAAGTGGGGTGTGCGGAGCAGGGGAGCGAGATCAGGGGATCAACCCATTTAGGCCTAGTTCGATTGGGCATTTTTGGTGCTTATTCCTTTTTAAAACCGTAAATTTATTGTTTGGTCCCTCAAACCACGTTCCCAATAACATCATTTTTTTTTCATTTTTCTGCTGTTTTAAGAAAGTTTTTTATATGTGTTTTTCCGTTAGAAAACTCATTTCTCTGAACCGATGTTTCTTAAAACTATCTTTTACAAAAGTACCGGATAACCAAACGAAGCCTTGATGCTGCAATCCCTTCAAACCACTCATTCTCTAATGTTAAGCTTCCAGTTATACTTTATTTCAGCATGTTAAAACTTATCAATCTAACTAAACTTACTCTTCCTGGAAATATTTCAGAGAGTTCGTTATCATGCAAATTCATGGTTACCAGCAAGGTCCATTGTTATTGAATGCATAGAATCCAGAAGAAATATTGATCCAAGTGGAGAAATTATTGTTCTTAGCAAATTTTGCCCTGTAAGTATGGTTTCATTTTTCTATTTATCAATCGCTATAAGTGGCTTTTCTTGTTTTATTTACCAAAACTACACCTTTGCATACCCATATTTATCATCTGCTTTCTTTGCTTTTGGTGTCTGGATAGAGCTTTGATTTGTCCTTCTGGCTTTGTAGCATTGTCTTCTACTGAAACTTATGAAGCGGACTAAATAATATCATTTTCTTCATACTATTCCCAGTTCTGTACACATTAACTGTAGAAACTGTACTGATTGCTTTAGAATACATAGGTGGGACGGCTACAAAAAATATAGGTAGGAGGAATTTTTCTAGCATGTGCTACAGACTGGCAAATCTAGTATTCTCTTACCTGTTCACCCTTAGGATTTAACCAATCCTTGGTCATCCTTCGCTCTGAGGCTCACAAGAACTCAAGAGAGCGAAGTTAAATCTATTGGCCTAAAAGAGGATTTTTATTTTTTTTTTGAAGTTAGTTAAGCTTAATTAAATTGTTAAGACTCCTATTAGTTTGGATCAAATCCTAACGTTAGGCTCAATTTCATCCAATTCAGATCAAGAACCTAATTAATTGAAGATGGCGCTTAATTAGCCTTAAGAACCCACCATGTACTATGCCCAATAAATTACACATGTACTAATTCGATTTTGCAGATGATTTTTTATAACTACGATTCTTTGTTCCAAAGTTGTGATAGCAGAGCTCAATCTTTGGGCATGTAAACTTTTTTGGATGAGCTAGAAAGTGCACGGATCTCTCACTTGTTGAGATATCCATAACACATGAAAGTGAATAATGTGAACCAAAATTTTTAGATCGTAATACCCACTTACGCCTGAACTGTTCTCACTTGCATGCTTTTGGCTCTCTAGTGATTGCATTGGCTTGCCCTTCTCTAGTGGCCACCTTAGCTTGCCTTTCTCTAGCGATTGCACTTGCTCCACATCTAGTGTCTCCCTTTCCTGAAGCCCTTGTCCTCTAATTCCCAGTCTCCCATAACAGTGAGTCTTATGCGCTTACTTGAGCATTTTTCCAACGCAACTTAATTGTCATTACTTGCCTTGTACTCCCATAAACTCTAGCGCTCTCTCCTATTTGCGGAATTGTGCAACCCTCTTATGAAACCTCTTTGTTGGTTATGCCCCTAACATGGCACTAAGTACTCAAATAACAATACGGTTAAACTCTTCGGAATCAACCTCTCATGAATTTTAATGTCATAAATTGTGTCGCACAATGCCATGACAATTATCTATAGGAGAGTTTTAACAGATGTGCTGAGTCGAATTTTCAGAAGATAGATTATATTTAAAGATAATAAGTTGCTCATACATTTTGGCCTTAGGGTTTTAAGCCCCGAGTGATTAACTTTAAAATTTGAAGATATTTTAAAAATTATTTAGTCCCCTTTATTTGAGCCTATGATGCACAGACACGGACACGGCGACACGACACGACACGGACACGGGACACGTTAATTATTGAAAATATAGGATACGGGTTGGACACAGTATTATAATTTTTATATTTTAAAAATAGTGTATAAAAATTCAATAAGCATAATTTTAAAAGTACTTTAAAAATAATAAATCATTTAACTATAATTTGTGCATAAAATGATTAGTATTAGAATGTCGAGAGTCATGCATCGATGCCGTTTATCAGTCACCGAGAGAGGAGATGAAAATAGTTTCACTGCTAAAGAGAAATGAAAATGAGAATATTCGATGAATGGGTATTAAGTGCGAACGTTGATTTGGTGGTGGATAGAAAATAAGAAATTTAGTTTAAATCCCGCCAAATACAAGAAATTATATTTTTTTAAAATTCATAAAATATTTAAGACATGCGTGTCCAATTCGTATTTAATATTTTTTAATCGGACACGTTTTCGACGTGTCAGACACTGTGTAGGAGTGTCGGATGAGTGTCGTGTTGGATATAGTGTCAGACACTGCACGCCTCTTTGAAGAGAAGTGTCGGTGCATCATAGGTTTGAGCTATACTTTATTAGCGTAACATTTAAGTCACTTAAAAATATTTATATTTGCAATTGAAATTTTGATTTTGAGAATTAATCCCTTTGATTGAGATTTACTTTCAACACTTATATCATCGGAGAGTTTAAATATTTTTATTATGGTATTTTCAACCTTGTGAACTCTACTAGAAGCAAGAGAATCGGGTCTAAAATCCATGCAACATTCTAGTATCTCAAGTTTAGGAGTGGCATATTTGGTTGGAGCACACGCGAGAATATTTAATTTTCTTTTGAGTGACATGCAAGTTTTTTGATGAATTTACACTGTACACTTACATATTTTTTGGTGCATTTGCACTATGCATTCACACATTTTTTTAACATTCTTGCGTGCTTTTTGGTGCACCTATGTAATGCACTTGTACGTTTTTTTGTGCATTATCATGACACACTTGCACATTTTTTAGTGCACTTACATTGCGTTCACATGCTTTTAATATTTGTGTGTTTTTCGACGAGCTTCACCATCACCTTTATGTTTTTTTGATACATTTACATAGCGTACTCACCCGCTTCTCAATATACATTATTTAATAAAATTTTCTTTTTTTATAAATAATAACATGCTTCTTAGGTTAGTTGTATGCTTCTTAGGGTATCATCAATAGCATGCTTCTTGAGGTAATGTTACATTTCTTAATGCGATTGCACTCTTCTCAAGAAAATGAAATGCTTTTCAGAGTGCTTCTAACTAAATGTTACAATCAGTCATGTTGCCAACAATTTAATTAAATATGAACAAAATGATGTCTGAGCTTATATCTGCCTTGATAATTTCAAGCATGCAAAGATTAAATAATTTCAAAGATAAGAATAAAGATGAATATCACTATAAAGAAAAAAACAAGCTCATCCAAGTACAAAGAGTTTCGCCTTAGGAAGTAGTTGTCTATACCTGTCAAACACTCAAAAAATACATCCAACAAACACACAAGAGAGAAGAATTGGAATTTTATTTTAATATTCAATCTCCACTGAATTATGCATATGCCTCAGGGATCATATGTACAGCCTAAAAGGGCCAAAAATAAGAAACTGAACATAATATGTAGAATTCTACTCAAGAACAATCGGCTCCAATACATTCATCATTAATGCCAATAGTAGTCACCTTTCCATATATTCCGCATAAATACTTCCAAAACTCTACAATATAGGATAAATTTTACCATAGAACATAGAGGAATTTTAGGGTAAGAATTATGGAAATTGTAGCTTAGGCTTTCTCGGGACAGCTTTAGACGACTGTTTTTTCCTGTAATTAAAAATTTTTTTGTACTAAAAAGCAGTTTTACGAAGCAGTAAGAAAGCCATCCAATAGTGGGAATATGAAGGTTACAACTTTGCCTTTAGCGGGAAAGACAAGGTAGCGGAGACGGAAAAAAATGACCTAGGCGAGAAAGTAGCTTGTGGAAAGAACAGAGAAGGGGGTGGACAGTTCTGCAGTGAAATAATGAGAAAAAGCAGATGTAGGACCTGGAAAGAGCAGTAGAACCGGGGTTGGCAGCAAAAATAAGAAACATGGAAGGCAATGGGAAGTTGAAAAAAAAATATAAATTTACATTATGTAATGCTTATGAACTCTACTGGTACTGATTGGAATTGAATGAATTTAGTTGAAATCATGCAATAATGAGTTAGATAAAATGCTAGAGAACACATCTCATTCATATAGAAGCCAACAACATAAGCATTTTTGCACTTCGAATAAACTAGGAAACAAAAAATTAAAGCTTCATTTGAGACGAATTTTTTGTTGCTTCTAGAGAATATATATATATATGTCAATATATTGAATTTAATGGGTTTAGTGGAAATCATGCAATATCAAGTTTGGTCTAACAAAAATTTCAAATTGCTAGTGAACACATCAAGCCAACATCATAAGCATTTTACTTACACTTAAATAGAACCAGGAAAGAAAAAAATTAAGAATAAATCAAACATGAATTGCATTCCAATAAGGAAAACTTTCAGATTTACTTCACGCTTCTGTTTTATTTATTTATTTTATTTCGAATTATGGTCATTGGTTTCACTTATTCTGTCCTAATAATTTCTTTGAAGGATTCAATATTGTTTGATTTTACTCATCATAACTTGAAACAGTGGAAGCTTCATTTATTTGAGCTTGAAGAAGAGCTAAAGATTGAACCTACCATCAAATATGTTCTTTATCAGGTCAGCTCCTCCTCTTCCATAATCCAAAGGCTTCCATTATCTGATTGCAATGATGATAAGTTCCCCCCAATTTTAACAATTTTGAACTGTTTCATAGGATGATCGGAGTGAAAGTTGGAGGATACAGGCTGTGGCAGTATCCTTAGATAAGTTTGAAAGCCGAAAGCCGCTTCCATTGCCATGGAGGGGCCTGAGAGATGAAGATCTTTCCAAGGAGTCAGGGATTCCTGGATGTGTATTTGTCCACATGAGTGGATTTATTGGAGGCAATCAGACTTACGAAGGTGCCTCAGCCATGGCTACAGCTGCACTTAGTTTTCCATCTGAGGAGTAATTCAATCAGACCTGGTTAGCTTATATGGAATTACCAGACTTTTCTAGTTATTTATAAAAGCATTGGCAATCAGAACAGAAGTTTACTGTTGGTTTTAGAGAATTTAAGAGAAAAACAAAAGAATGGCCTGCGGACATTTGAATTAATCTTTTAATAGGAGGAAACGATTAGCTTGGAGAAACAGGAGCAAAAGAGAGAGAATACCCGCCGTTGTTTAGCTTGATTGGTGGGTGAGTAGTGAGTACGGTTGAGAACCCCCCAAACCGTGCATGATTCCCCTCTGATTCCCCTCGAGTGGCAACACCTCTTAAGTAAGGCCCAATAAGATGCAGGCCTGAAGGTTTTTGGAGTAAGTTTCTAGAGTGGGTGCCTCTTCTAGGTCAATCGAGGATTAATGCTGCCAAGCACCTTTTCATATATGGCAGCGAATGGATACCACATTTAATATATATATATATCATTTCAATTTCTCCTTTATTTTTCTCTTTCTCCAGTTATATCTATGTATTGTATGTGAAAACTAGAAATTCAGCAGGAGCATGATTTTTTGTTATTAGTCTTATTATAATTATTTGGAAGAATCAATTAGGAATCCTTTCTTGTTCTTGCTTAGTGTCACTTGCATCAATGTTATTTTATATGAATGAAACTCTCTGTCTGTTGTTAGTCTGATAGTTGGAGAAATTTCTTGTTAAGTGTCACCAAAATTATATTAAGATGGACTTTATAGTGCTATAGTCATCAATTTTAATTTAATATGAATATAGTATATAATTAATCTATGTTCTAATCAAAACTATGTAAAAATTTTAGTTCAAAATTTTGTTTTTTTAACTAAAAAGCTGTTTCAAATGAAACTTTAATCAGCCTGCTAGTTCTCTGATTCTCCTTTCTGGATGAGTTTTCTTTAACTATGGCTATTCAACTACTTTAATCATTAAAATAAACATACAACAAAATAGTCTATTTGGATGAAAACAATAAGAAAATTTCTACGCAGTTTTTCCCATCATTTGCTTCATAAAAGCTGCATTTAAAAAGAAATAGAATAAAATTGCGTTTGAGAAAGCAGGTTTCAAACAAATTCTAACAAAAGCAGAAAAATTATAAGTAATCCAAAGTTCATTTGGCAAACATTGTGAAGATGGATGAAACTTAACTATATAACAAAATGTTAAATTATACAGCAAGGTTAAATGATCAATCTGAAATTTAGCCAAGAAATCTTCATGGTTATTCAAACACTATATGAACTTGAACAATATAGACAAATTAAGTATGTGTAAGTGTTGCAACGTTTGCACAGATGAAGATGTTCAAGTGGATGAGTGACTTTACTCTTAAAAATAGAATACAAAATAAGCATATACGTCAAAAGGTTGGAGTAGCTCCAGCGGAAAATAAAATTGGAGAGAGTCATCTTTAGATGGTTTGGTCACATAAACCGGTGGTCTTCCGATGATCCGGCTAGGAGAGTAAATGTATTAGATTTTGCTTATGTTAATATAGGTAGAGGCGAACCTAAAAAAGGCTTGGTTAGAAAAAGATTAGAAATGACATTTCTTTATTATATTTAAATAAGAATTTGACTCTTAACAAAACACAATAGAGAAAAATGATTCATGTAACCATCCATCTCAAACGCATACTCATTTTTACTAGACCTGATTTGTTTATCAATTAGTTGATTTACCCCTAAACACTAGAGAACCAGGCAACATTAATTAACTAAGTGCAATTTTATAAGATAGTTGTTAGGAATGAGTGTGCCCACAACCATAACTCCGCAGAGATCAAATAATTCACTAAACTTCAAATTAAAAAAAATGAAGAATTATACACTTCAAATAAACTTAGAGATATGGACAAAAGCTATGAGAAGATGCAGTCACCAAGTGCACAGATGAATTATAAGCTTGGATGTCTCCTCTCTTTCTTTTTCTCTCATCTCTTTGTTGCATCTTGTTGTGGGATGCTCTACAAGTGTGGTTTAAGTGCGCTTATATGGTGAAAAATTCACCTTCTAATATTAATAATCAATTACCACTAAAGTAATCTTATCCATAATAGTTGATGAAATTAAACTCCACACTCCCACACTCCCACTTGGAATGAATTTTCAATGCACCGTTCGAACTCGTTTACAGTGAGACGAGCCGAGCTCGAGCTCGAGCTCAGCTCATTTATGAGCTCGCAAGCCGAGTTTATCGAACTCACGAGTCGAGCTCAAGCTCGAGTTCGAGCTCGATTAGTAAACGAGCTCGAGTTCGAGCTTGAGCCGGCTCAGCTCGTGAGCTCGCGAGCCAGCTAGAATAAATATTAATATTGTTAAAATAATTTTATTTTATTCTTATATTTAAATATTAAAAAAATTATAAAAACCACCTAAATTTTATTTAAATGTTAAACATTTCATATTTTTTTTCTAAATTTTGAATTAGTTTTAAAAATCTCGCCTCATTTTTAAAAATCCCGCCTAAATTTAAAAGTTCCCACCCATGGCTCATAAGCCGGCTTGAGCTTGTTTACAGTGAGACGAGCTCGAACTCGAGCTCGCTTTCCAACTAATGAGCCGAGCTCGATAAGGGCCTAAACTCGACGCAACTCATTTGCACCCCTAATTTGAGTACATCTCTGTTCAGTACATCCATGTCATCAGTTGCAAAGGTTAATTAGGGCTTTGCAATAACCATCCATTAGTGGCATTCTAAACTTTGTTTAATTGTTGTTAACTATTTATTTTGAATATTCTCTTTCTCCAGTTTTATCTATGTATTGTATGTGAAAACTAGAAATTCAGCAGGAGCATGATTTTTTGTTATTAGTCTTATTATAATTATTTGGAAGAATCAATTAGGAATCCTTTCTTGTTCTTGCTTAGTGTCACTTGCATCAATGTTATTTTATATGAATGAAACTCTCTGTCTGTTGTTAGTCTGATAGTTGGAGAAATTTCTTGTTAAGTGTCACCAAAATTATATTAAGATGGACTTTATAGTGCTATAGTCATCAATTTTAATTTAATATGAATATAGTATATAATTAATCTATGTTCTAATCAAAACTATGTAAAAATTTTAGTTCAAAATTTTGTTTTTTTAACTAAAAAGCTGTTTCAAATGAAACTTTAATCAGCCTGCTAGTTCTCTGATTCTCCTTTCTGGATGAGTTTTCTTTAACTATGGCTATTCAACTACTTTAATCATTAAAATAAACATACAACAAAATAGTCTATTTGGATGAAAACAATAAGAAAATTTCTACGCAGTTTTTCCCATCATTTGCTTCATAAAAGCGGCATTTAAAAAGAAATAGAATAAAATTGCGTTTGAGAAAGCAGGTTTCAAACAAATTCTAACAACAGCAGAAAAATTATAAGAAATCCAAAGTTCATTTGGCAAACAATGTGAAGATGGATGAAACTTAACTATATAACAAAATGTTAAATTATACAGCAAGATTAAATGATCAATCTTAAGCTGAAATTTAGCCAAGAAATCTTCATGGTTATTCAGAAATTGAACATTATAGACAAATTAAGTATGTATAAGTGTTGCAAAGTTTGCAAAGATGAAGATGCTCAAGTGAATGAGTGACTTTTAGAAATAGGATACAAAATAAGCATATCTGTGAAAAAAGGTTGAAGTAGCTCGAGCGGAAGATAAGATTGGGGAGAGTCGTCTTTAGATGGTTTGGTCACATAAACCGGCGGTCTTCCGATGACCCGGTTAGGAGAGTAAATGTATTAAATTTTTCTTATGTTAATATAGGTAGAAGTGAACCTAAAAAGGCTTGGTTAGAAAAGATTAGAAATGACATTTATTTATTATACTTAAATAAAAATTTGACTCTTAACAAGACATAATAGAGAAAAATGATTCATGTAACCATCCATCTCATACGCATACTCATTTTTACTAGACCTGATTTATTTATCAATTAGTTGCTTTACCCTCTAAACACTAGAGAACCAGGCAACATTAATTAACTAAGTGCAATTTTATAAGATTGTTGTTAGGAATGAGTGTGCCCACAAACTCCACAACAACAACAACAAGCCTTTATCCCACTATTTGGGGTCGGCTACATGAATCCTTTTTCTCCATTGCGTCCTATTAAAAGTCAAATTCTCGTTTAAATCAAATAAAGAAAGGTCATTTCTAATATTTTCTAACTAAGTTTTTTTAGGTCTACTCCTACCTTTCTTAACATAAGTCAAATCTAATACCTCTATTCTCCTAACCGGGTCATCAGAAGGCCGCCGTTTTATGTGAACAAACCATCTAAGGCGACTCTCTCTAATCTTATCTTCTACTGGAGCTACTCCAACCTTTTCACGTATATGCTCATTTCGTATCCGATCTCTAAGGGTAAAGTCACTCATCCACCTGAGCATCCTCGTCTTTGCCCACAAACTCCACAGAGATCAAATAATTCACTAAACTTCAAATTAAAAATATGAAGAATTATACACTTCAAATAAACATAGAGATATGGACAAAAGCTATGAGAAGATGCAGTCACCAGATGCACAGATGAAAGGTAGACTTCTATTTATTGAAAAAGTGAAAGAACTCACTTGCAAGCACCTGCAAGACTTTTTCCTTTCTTTCTTGGATGTCTCCTCTTCTTCCTTTTTCTCTCATCTCTTTGTTGCTTCTTGTTGTGGGATGCTCATTAAGTGTGGTTTAAGTGCGCTTATATGGTGAAAAATTCACCTTCTAATATTAATAATCAATTACCACTAAAGACTTTCGTAGCTTACAATGTAGATTTATGTAGTAACCACCATTTAGGATTTTATTTGTGATAATCTTTATTTAGGACTTTATCATTACATTCAATTAGAATTTTGTGGTAGCCAGCAATATAGAAAAAATTAAGATAAAATCTTATCCATAATAGTTGATGAAATTAAACTCCACACTCCCACTTGAGTATGAATTTTCAATGCACTAGCTTAAAGATCATATTTGTATACATCTCTGTTCAGTACATCAATGTCATCAGTTGCAAAGGTTAATTAGGGCTTTGCAATAACCATCCATTAGTGGCATTCTAAACTTTGTTTAATTGTTGTTAACTATTTATTTTGAATATTTCCCTGTCATATAATGCCCTTTTGTCCTTTGAAATATTCCACTTAGCATAAACTTTAGTTTGCAGTACTCGTCCATAATTATCAGCAATAGATTCCAAAAAATCTCTCACTTTTCTAGGACTTACATCATATTCTTCGTACCATTCAAGCTTCCATAAGCTACCCCAACAGTTATAACAACCTTGATACATAAACCTTATGCAGTATCTCATATAAGATCTTTATCAATACCTCATCTGCTAAACACAGTTGAATCATTGTCAAAACCTTACTATTATTTTTCGAAGGCAATGTTAAGTTTCTCTCCTATTATTTTATTATAGGACTTAAGATTGATTCTCTAATAATTAGCATAATCTCCAATGTCACTTATGTTCTAAAATGGTGGTATCATAAAAATTCTTCTTAAATCATTTGGCATCCTCATGGTCTTCAAAATCCAATGAAAATATTGTTAAACAACTTGTGAACTATGGAGTAAAACAATCTTCTCCTAGCAAAATTGTTTCTTTTGATTATTTCCAATATAATCATTAGATATATATCTATAACTAATACCTACAACCTTCCCAAAAGGAATTATCTTCCCTTCTAAAAAAATGTTTATTTATGAATAAGTGACTGCACTTTTGAATGTGTTATTCTTATTTTGTAAAGCATGTGATCTTTATTACATGTGCTCGAAATATCAGATCACTCCTCATCATGGGTGAAATATCATAACAGATTGTAGCATTTAATGTAATCTAATAAATCACCTATGTCGCAACCAAAATCTGCATTACATTGAATTTGTCATCGAGATATAGGAAGGTTGTGCAGAAAGATAGTGACAATGGGCTTTTGAGAGAAAGGTAGATTCCACCATAGATCTAACTACAGTAAATTTTCCTTATAGCTCATGACTGTGTCTCAATTAAACCAAAATAAGTCGTCCTGGCAAAATCTAGTCCCTACCCTATTACCTTAACAATAATCACCATATCAATAATCAAATTTGCCTTGACAATGTTCTCTTTCAACTCTCTATAAACTAATATCCCCACCTCATGCATATTATTAACCATACCAAGATACAATGAAGTATATACTTATCCAATAACTCTAGGTTTCTTCCATTTTCATTGAGTTTATTGCAAACAAGTGATATTAATTCTTCTTCAAATCATTATGTCCACAAATTTTATTGTCTTCTTATTCAATGTCATAAATTCCATATAGCAAATCCAATTTAATTCAAAACCTAATCAACAATGCCCAAGTTTCACTACAATTGGAAGAAATTGTGCTGCACCACTTTTAAGGACATCATAACAATCCTTGTGTACTTTTCCACACAATCATGTTAGGTTATGAAGTCCTAGCAAATCTTTGCATATTTGTTGTCACAATAGGAAGATCATGGCACATCATTTAATGGAAAAGCCACTGATCTAGCATAGCAAAATTAATAAGAAAATTGAAAGCAAGGCAATAAGGCTCATCACAATGTAAACAACAACATCATCATCAATCTTTTATCCCACTATGTGGATCAGCTACATTAATCATTTTTTCTTCATTGTGTCTTATTAAGAGTCAAAATCTCATTTAAATTTAATCAGTCTATCTCTACCTTTCTTAACATAGGCCAGATCTAAAACATCTACTCTCTTAACCAGGTCATCAGAAGGCCGACATTTTATATAATCAAACCATCTAAGATGACTCTCTGTAATCTTATGTACCACTAGAGCGACTCCAACCTTTTCACAACATACTTGTTTTGCATTCTGTCTCTAAGAATAAAGCCACTCATACATTGAGCATCCTCATCTCTGCAACACTTGCTTCTCTTTTAAATTTTAATGGCCAAAATTCTGGGCCATACTGCAAGTCTTCACCACCATCTTATAGAATTTTTCCTTAAATTTGACTACATTTCTATCACACAAGCCGAATCATTCCTCCACTTCAAGCATCCAACTTGAATTCTACTAATAATATCCCCATCTATTTCACCATCACATTGAACAATAGACCCGAGATATCTAAAATATGCACTATTTAATGACTTGATCACCCAAAGTCACAAACCCCACTAGACCTATTACTACTAAAATTACACTCCATGCATCCGGTTTTAAATTTGCTCAAACAGAAATCTATACTCTAAAGTTGACTTCCATAATTCGAGTTTTCCTTAAACTCCATTTCTAGTCTTACTAACAAGAAGAATATCATTAGCAAAAAGCATACATTATCCTCTTGCAAAAATCCATGACTAAAGCAAAAAAGATATGAGCTTAAAGCTGATCCTTGATGTGATCCAATCGAAATTAGAAAACACTTGGTCAAACTACCTTGTGTTTGAACACAAATAACAACACTTGCATGCATATCCTTAATGACTTGAATATAAGCATTAGTAACTCTTTTATTTTCTAAAACTCTCCATAGCAATTCTCTTGGAACTTGATCATATGATTTCTCTAAATCAATAAATACCATATGCACACCCTCCTTATTCTCTATATACTTCCCCATCAAACCTCTCAATAAATGTATAGCTTCCATAGTAGACCTAACCGGCATGAATCCAAATTGATTTTGAGAAACATTAGTATCACGTCATAACTTCCAATTACCCTCTCCCATAATTTTAATGAACGACGCATCAACTTAATTCCTCTATCATTTGGACACTCGTGTTCATCACCTTTATTTAAAAAAAAAAAAAGAAATCAACACACTCCACTCATCTGACATGTTTTTAGTCTTCAAAATAATATTAAAAAGTTTAGTAAGCCAAGAAATTCTTTCATCACCAATAATATTAAAAAATTTAGTAAGCTAAGAAATTCCTTCATCACCTAAGCATTTTCACACATCTATTGGAATAAGTTGACTTTTTTTTCAAAATATAAGTTGAAATTTTTATTTTTCAATCAAGAATTAACGATATGTTGCATGGTATAAGTTAGGAATCTTAGGCTAATCCAATACCTACAGAAAATTCCCTAAAAATAAATTCAAGGATAATACCATTCACTTCATCTAAATTAAGTATGATTAAAATATTAGGAAATTAGTTTTTCAATTATTGTATCCTGGCAAACAAAACTTTCGCATCTAAAATCAACCCTAGATAACAGGGGCAGTAACATATAAAGGATAGTAAGGAACAACAATAATGTACAAGCACTAGCGTCCTAACATGTACCAATAATCATGATTAAGCTAAACAAAACTCAAAGTAAAACCCCAACTGCAAAAATTAATATTGGAATTATCAATTCCAATCTTCATAATACATAAATTTACAATCATATCAGTATTCACATGTGGTGGGATAGGGTAGGGAGAGGTGACATTGTAGTATTGTGTGAGACTGTAAAATCCCTAAAACAAAACATATGACCAGAAACTAGGGTATAAATACAAGCTAGCCATGAAATCACTGAAACATTATAGCTTCAATTAAAAGCTGAAAACAGTTTATGAAGTATTCCAGCTCAGAACAAATCCACTTCTACCATCTAGAAATGCAAAACTAGTACTATGTTCTTAAACAGATAATCAGGTATATGCTAAAAAATCTTAGGCAACATCAACAAGATATGAAAATCATATTACATGCAACTTCAAAATGTTTATTTTCCAACAGAAAAAGGATGTAGTAGGCAGTCACTTTGATCGGGACAGTTTAAATGCATATGATGCACGCATGTATAGAAATATTATAGAAAAGTTTATATTCCTGAAAAAAACGAATACCAAAAGTACTGTTCTGAAAGATAAATTAGCTCTGGCAAACAAGGAACTGAAGAAGCCAACTGACGTATCAGATAGCATTCAAAATTAATTTTAAGTTCAAGCTAATTACTCAAAATGAGCTTGTTCTTCAAACCGAATATTGCAAGTTCAATAAATAACCTCATGCATTCAGATCAGTATGAACAAGTATTTATCATCTCATAGCGCTGAGCTTAAGCAAAGCTTGGCATGGCATCACATTGTGTAATATGCAAACCATAACCAGCAGTACAACAACATTTTAAAACCTCATAAGATAAATTTCAAGTAAAGAGGATAAAATGCGAATGGAAGAATAATGGGAAGATGCAAACAAAACTGCATACACACAATATATCAAAAACCAACAGCAAACAAGGCTTCGATCTAAAATAATGCACTGCAACATTCAAGCACACTGAATTTTCAACCCCTAGCACAAGGCAGGCTAAACTTTTTTCAGAACAGCAAGATGTGCCGTTGCAAGTTCACCTCAGAAATTATTTCCTAAAAGTATGAAATATGATGATGGTTTACAAAATCTACATGAAAACGTTATGTAAACTTAATCATTCCATCCTACCATCTCGATAGCCCATACTTTTACAGATTATCCGTAAAAAGATGGAGAAACGAAAATCTCAAAAACAGGCATGCTCAACTGAATATATAAATGCCAATAAAGAGTCCAAACCCAAAAGCTCCCAGATATATAACGAAAGAACAGTTGGGCCATATCAAAGGCACCAAATAAATTGAATTGTCGGCAAATTACTCAAACACAAATTGCTAACAAAGGTTCCGAACCCACAATTTATCCACACTACGATATGTGAGGCAAAATTTGTAATGCTTATGACTTCAAAGCTACATAAAAAATCAAACACTAGTATACGTAACATCGAAGATTCAGAACAAAACCTAAACGGGAACATGTCTTTTCAACACCTGTTTCCCTGCCATAGCAACTCCCACCATCAACCCTCCAATCGCCCCAGCGATAGCCGCCGACCTTGGTCCATTTGCAGCTTTATATATCGCGCCAGTACCAAGCCCTGCAACAACACTATTAATCCAATCATCAGAATCCCTCACGGCCACCATGCCGCTCTCCATCCCAGCATAAAGAAGCCCGATGATACCAAGCCTGTTACCCATCCTGCGGCCTTCCTGGCCGGAAGAATTGAGGATGCGATTTACACGTAGTTTTGCCGTATCCCCGGCTTCGGCGGCCTTAACGCCCTTATAGAGCCCTAGGGAAGCGCCAATGGCGGCGCCGCCGAGGTAGCCGACACCTGTGTAGAAGGTGAGATTCTCGCCCCAAGAGCGGCGCTGAGTGGTGGATTCCTCCTGGAAAAGGAACTCCGGTGAGGTGGGGAGGTCGTAGATGGCACGATAGGGAATTTGAAGGTCCTTGTAGGGATCGTAGAGTCGGCGGCCAGGTTCTTGACGGCGATCGGAATCCTCGCTGCGACCGAAAATTCTTGGATCCGCCATGGAGATCTCAAACCCTAGTTCGGTAGTTCGCTAAATATAGGGTTTTCTTGGAGAGAGGGTTTTGGAAGAAGAGAAGCCGCCTCCTTGCCTTTAGTTTAAGCCGACGGCATGCTTTCGATTTTCCCAGAATAAACGCGATGGGAGGGTTTTTGTCCTCTCGTAGTATAATATATATGAGATTTGATTTTATATGTATCTAATAATAGTAGAAATTAACAAAATTTCACAATTTAATTTAAAAAAATATATATTCTAATTTTTTTTATCAAAATTCTTGTTTTAGATTACAAACTATTCTTTTTTAATTCGCATTAAAATTAATTTGAACACAATTAAAATAAAAGTTGATGAGTCTCAATTAGGACTGACATGCTGCAAAACTTTGAAAATCATGCTTGAATTCGAGCAGGGACGGATCCAGCATCTTTTTTTAGGGTGAGCAAAAAAAAAAATTTAGTAGGGGATGGACAAAAATGATTAGGATTGATAAAATTAGGGCAAAAAAGTTTTTTGAGAGGAGGCAAAATATCCAAAATACTCAAAATATTCCAAAAAATATTCTCTAAAATTATATAAAAAAATTTTGGATATAATGAAGGAAGTGGTAGCTAGAATGGCAAAATTACAATTATAGGCTGCTTCACACAAATGTTTGACAAGTTAGTAAATGTTAAAATCAAAAAATTAGTGTTTTCTTTTTCTTTTTTGCCTCTCTATTTTCATGTCATTTTTCATGTTTCTGAGATCCATAACGGTCAATTTTCATGCGGTATTGATCTTCACAGAGCGGTATTCCTCGTTATTATCAAATAATACCTAGTAATACCGAGCAAATACCGAGTTTTTTGGCGGGATTTTGCCTCCGACCGGACGTTCCTCTACGTCCTTATACTGGACCTAATAAAAGTTCCTTTTTAACGCTTCTTAAAGTTGTTTTTTAGTAAAAAAATTAATTTTTATATTACAAAATTATTTTAAGAAGTAGAAAGAAAGCCGTCCCAAACAAAGCCCCAATTAGGACTGACATGCCAAAAAAAATTAATATATGATTGAATATGATGAAGATAATTAGAACGTTGTGTGATGATTCAAATAAGTTTTATATATGATTTAATATAGTTCGCACAAAATCTGACATTATTTGATTATGTTAAATAGCATAAATATAGCAAGTGCAATCACAATTTCTATAGCTTATAATGTTATTGTACAAACTTTGAAAACTGTTTGAATCCGAATAAGGTTCATTCTGTTGGTAAGTAAAATCACGCAACTAAACAAACAAGAAATAATAAAATGTAGCGAAAAAAAAAAAAAAGAATATCATCAGGATTTAATGTACAAAAACATGAAGCCGGAAAGAAATCAAAGAGTCACACCACACTAATAAATTCACTATAAAATTTTTAGGAGAAATATATCATCTTTCACTATCTCGTTATATCTCTTCACCACTTACACATTTCTCTCACAAGAACAAACAAAGAAAACTCTCATTAACCATCAAGGGACGCAACCCTCATGAAAAACTAAAAAGAAAAACTGACAGCCTGCCTACAGCTCAACTCCACCATATGCCATCTAATGTCAGACGCTCATTGCTATCTATCACTGGCCACTAGCCAGTGCCACCCATCTGCCATTGGCCACCACTATTATTGAGTTTTTCGATGCATTTCTTTTACTTCAAGCTAAATAAAAAATAACATTTGTATTTATTTTAATTATTATCATCAAAACAACTCTAAATATTTCATATATATTTATCTTTTTGCACTGTATTTCATTTTACTCGGGATTTTTTTTTTTCACAAACCTAACGGTCCCTAAAGAGTATACAATCACCTTAAAAATAATGCAAAAAAAAAAAACAATCTTAAAAGTTAATTTATAAATCAATATTAGCTTTAGATTGCATATCAACAATAATATAAAATAAACCAACACGATAATAATACAAGTTTGTTATTTCTTCACCTCTCTGTACTGATCATTGGTGAGCCTTAAATATAGAGTTTGTATTTGAAACATTAATTTCAAAATTATTGCAACGATGTGATACTTTATCCAATAAAAAATCTTAGTCATTATTTTACTCTGATGTAAATTTATCCTTTAAGTCATTAATAAAGAAATTATAACAAATCCTCATTAGATTGAAGGAATAAAAAACTGTTAAAAAGTTAACTGAATTTATGAAAAAACATATCTGATTTATTAAAAACACCATAACAAGTGGTTCATCGAAACAATTTCCTTTATTTCAGCCATAATAATTTCAATAATAACTTTTCTTACAACAAATTTCCATTTGACTTTACAATTAGCTTGGAGCAGTTACAATATAGTTGTAAATTCATTCATTTTGAATTTTGAATTTGATAAATGAATGGGCTTTAAAAAAGCGAAGTATTGTGTGGAAGAGAGAGAAACTAGCTGGCAATTGCCATTAAATATGACTATAAAAGGCTAACAAAAAATTGAAAAGAAACCACTAGCTAAAAATAATTGAAGCTTCTTTTTTTATCCAAGATAACACTAAGCAAAAGGAAAATGATTAAAAAAGGTGAATAAAAACCCACTAAAAACAATTGAAACTTCTTTTTTTATACAAGAGAACACAAAGCACAAGGGCATGATATCAACATGTTGATGGATATGTTGTATCAAGGAAATTTTTAGTTAAACAAAGAAAATAGTGGGCATGGAATGAACCACAAACTTACCCGGCAACTTTGGGTGAAGCAAGCGTCATGTATGTAAAATTGTAGGAGTAGCAGGCATCTGCATAAGAAGTGAATAGGAGAGAAAGAAAAAGATGAGAGGCTCAACGGCTGTGTTCATACAACGTGTGTGAGACTGTGACGAGAGAGAGTTGTTTGAGTGAGTGTGCATGAAAGGAGAGGATTTTGGGTAGCCAACTCTTTGTTAGGGAAAAACAAACTTTTTAGGGGGGTGGTGGAATTCTCAAAATCGCCTCTCTTATAAGTAAAAATTAATTTTGAGGGCTCACCTAGTTGGGGCTCTGTCCTTATCAACATCTTTAGTGCTCTCTCTTCATGATGCTCTACATATTTCCTTCTAAATGTTAGGGAAACTTCATAAGCCAATATTGTAATGTTAATGCAGTGAACTCATGGTTTTGAACTCATGGTTCACCAAATTCTTAATTAACCCATTTAGAGTCCTCTCACATGATAGTTTATTCTATATATATATATATATATATGCATTCAAAATATACTTAACTTTCTCAAACGAGGTAAACATCTTATTAAAAATTGCATTATGCTTAACATGGTTGAGTAGAACTTCATCTACGAGATAATATAAACCTTGCTTCCATATATCACCCCTCTTTGTGCAAAACATGCAATGATTGGTTTCTAATTTAGGCATGCATTCTTAAATTTCTTGACACCCCCAAGTAGTTATCTGTAAACCTAATGCTACCACTCAACCCTTTGAATGTCTCCTCAAATAAAAATTCTTTAAATCTTAACCCAATGATTGGTGCTAATTCAACTAATCCAAATAATATGTTCTTCTTTTAAACATAAGGGAGCATCCTTCATTCTCCCAACACCAATCATCCTCAACAGAAGTCATTGAAGCATAGCTCTAAAAAACTATAGATCAAGAGCATTGAAAAGCTGTATAATGTGAGATGTTTTCACCTTTCCTGTAAAATTAATTGCCTCAGACTGCCAAATAATTTGATCTATTACGCCCGCATCTTTTTATATGACCTAAGCATGTAATGTTTTTCTAGATATGTTATTAGAGCGGTCATCTACATAAAAAAGAGTGGTCATCTATATGCATAGCAATGTATTTCAAATGAATTTAATTCATCTAAGATAATGAGAATAATTAAAAAAAAGATTCAAATCATATTCTAATCTTGTTTGAACAAAGTTCAAATATTGTTCAAATCATAATCAAACTTACTTATACCGTATTCCAACCTTATTAGATCTGGCTCTAATAATATTAAAATCATCTTTGATCAACTATGCTAACAAATGTTTGAATCTTATTTGAACCATATTCAAACAATTTTCAAACCATATTAGAACTTGCTTGAATCTTGTTTGAGCCTTTCTTTAATTATATTTGAACCATAATTCAACTTCGAAGATGGTTAGAGCATGATTCAAAAAAGTTCAAGTATGATTCAAACATGTTTTGAGCGTAGTCGTTATATGTAATATGATGCCTATTGAGGTTTATGATTCAAGGTTTAGTGTGCAAATAAGGTCCTATAAGTTCATTTCTTGTTTGTTTTTCATACCTTGGATTCTTCACTAATCTCCTTATTATTTCAACCTACAACAATCGGTGATTGATGCATTGAAACATAAATAACAAAATGCATATGATCCCCAACCTTACACAAATCCCTGAACAAAAGATGGTTGGAAATTAAAAGTCAAGTTTTCATTGTTAAGCTTTAGAGCAGATTGATCACACGAAATTTACGATTATCGAGATAGATAAGATGTTTGGAAGAGGGAGATAAACTTATATATATATATATATATATATATATATATAATCATACGTTCACAATGACCTAAAATTTGAATTCTGTCCTGCTTAGAAAGACAAAGAAACCAAATCTTTTCATGACTACCATCCTCAAAGTTGGAGAAAAGAGATAGGAAAAAATTGTATCTATACAAAGATAAGCATATCATTCGATGAAGCTAAGTAAAAACGGTGAAAGAAGTAAATATTTCATGCCTTCCACAGACACACACACACAGAGAGAGAGAGAGAGAGAGTCTTTAGAGAAATTAAGAACGAAGTATACAAAGAGTGATATTGATTCGGCTCGTCTCTAACGTCTCAACTCATAGAAAGAAGAAGAGAAGAGCCGCGTCAACATCACGCCATGTCTTCTTCTTCTGCTGCTTCTCCTAATTAACCCTTATTACTTAGATCTCAGATTAGTATTACTGTTATGAATGAAGCTATAAGTTGATGGGATATATATACACATCATAATGAACTGCAGCTGAATATTATATTGTTATTTTACAAATAAACATTTATAATCAATTAAAAAAATGATAATCCAACAGACAATAGCTGTAATTAATGGTGCAACTACGGAGTTAATAGATCCAAATCATTTGAATCTCGGTCATA